CAAGGGAGTTCTGAAAATGTTTGAAAAGGTGATAGTCGGTTGGTGAAAGGTCTGGAGAATATGGCGGGTGAGGTAGAACTTCAACCCCAATTCGTTCAATTTATGGATAGTGATTTGTGAAACGTGTGGGCGGGCGTTGTCATGCAAAAGAATCGGACCCTTTCTGTTGACAAGTGCTGGCTGCAGCTGACGCAATTTTCGGTACATTTCGTCGATTTCTTCACAGTAGGACTCTGCTGTGATGGTTTGGCCTGGTGACAAAAAGTTATAGTGGATCACACCAGCCGATGACCACCACACTGTGACCATAATCTTTTTTCGTGAGGATTCGGCTTTGGAAATTGCCTCGGTGGTTCGTCGGCATCCAACCACTGTCCGGAACGTCTCCTGTTATCATACATGATCCACTTTTCATCACAGGTGACAATTCGGTCCAAAAACGGGTCGTTTCTGTTGCGCAAAAGCAGTGAAGAAGAAACCTCGAGACGTGCCAATTTCTGCCGGTCACTCAAATTGTGGGGCACCCACTTGTCGAGTTTTTTCACCTTCCCAATGCGTTTCAGACCATCCGCAACAGTGGATTTGCCAACGCCTAGCTTTTCTGCAATCTCTCGAACTGTTTGGGATGGGTCAGCCTCCACAAACGCCTTCAAATCCTCGTCAGGTATTGCTTTAGGTCGACCGCTACGAGGTTCATCTTCAAGGCTGAAATCTCCAGAACGAAATTTGTCGAACCATTGTCGCACGGTGCTTTCTCCAACACTATTGGGCCCCCACACCTGGTTAATTTGTCGAGCTGTCTCGACTGCGGATTGACCCAATTTGTAGAAAATATCGTCCGAAGTTGCTCTTTTGACATGCTTCAAAAAGTCTTGGGAAAAGGGGGTTTATCAAGCAATGGTGAAACGGCAATTATACCATCAGATAGCGCAAAGAATTCTCTTCAGGATGTACTACTGAGACGCAAGGGAGAATGAGTCAATCAGCAATGAATGTACAAAAAATAGTAACACAAAACGCTGAGAACTTTCCGGACAACCTAATACATGATTTTGGCATCGCTCAATTGCGAATCTACACACAAATTTTTATGAGCATGCAACTTCTCTATACTTACTTTAATATGGGGCTGCTTTGGGAACGAAGCTGGCGAATCGGTATGCAAATATAACACACTGAACCGCGGTTACCCCGCTTCGTGTGCCTGTGCACTGCCCTGTGCCCAGCAAACAAACACTCGAATGGAAATCGCAGCAAAAACAACAAGGTGTTCACTGAGCCAGCGGGTCTCGTAACGATAATCCAGTTGCAGAAAGGACGCCTAGAAAATGGTTCGCGAAGCTAAAGCTAGAGGGAATAGCCCAATGGACAGACACTGTCCCCCTCTCCCCCAAGCTCTATTAAGTGCACGAAAAGAATGAGAATTCATCCCCAAGGCGGCAAACAATCGTTGACGAGTTCCTGAATTTGCGAGAAAATGCGCGATTGAATAAAACCAAATTTATGCAGTTTTACTGAAAAAACATTATTAAAAATGGAACAGAACGAAATTTTCACACATCCTACATATCTAACAATTTAATACTAGTCATTGGACATTAAGCTCTCCTGCAATAGAAAGGAGCGATGCGGGATGAGTTGAGTTCTTCTTCTAATTGGACCCGAGACATAGAGGATAGAAATAAAGCCTTTGCCGTGAACAGATCCCTTTGTGGGATGCGGCACGCATTCTACTTCCATTCAGAATCGTAGTGGCTTACTGAATGCGATGTGGCCTATACAATGACTTGCGGGGATCAGCCGATATACAGTTGATATCACCGCATCTGTCGGGTCGCAGTCAGCGGTCGCGACCTGCGGCATTGCCACCACTGGTTGTTTTCCTCCTGAATCGATCACTTCCCGATCGCCACTGGTAGAGCAAGGCAGCCGCAGGCGGGTTCAGCCGCGTTGGGCTCGCGCCCCCGACAAATTGAAATGCAACAAACTTTACAAGTCAGTGTTCTTGTCCTCCCAGATGAATCTGGTTCTAAATCACCGTTCTCGGAGAGTAGAAGGTCTGGTCGACCGAGGCTGGAGCCGGTATAGAATTTGATCCCCAGGCCGTACGCGTGATATACGTACACGGGACATAACACACCTTATAGTACACCGCAGCTGATCCAGTCTGACGACGTCAGGATGTCTGTCAACCGCGAAGCCTTCTCTCTCTCCTTATCCTTCCTTTTTCCTTCTATTCCTCTTTTCCATCTCTCTTTCCTCTTCTTATTTTTCCCTCTTCAAATGCTCCGCTAGGAGATGCAAAGCTCTTGCGCGAATGAACATGCGGTTGAGGAAGCCATGTAACCCAAACCACTTTGCTGATAACTTCACAAGCAATGCAAGGGGGCCATGGACTTTTTCGTTACAATATGATATTTCAATGAAAACTAGGCGATAACAATAAAAGCCTCGCAGCAGTTACCACGGTCCCGGGTAAGATCTCATATTAATCTAGTTCGGCTCAGAAACAGCTTACTGATCAACAAGGCGTGCGTCATGTCTCTTCATTTAGAACAGCTGTTTTTACCTCAATGTGCCGGAGCAGAACATTGCTTAATGCTTGGCGATCCCACTGTCCCCCATCTGGGAAAGCATCATAGTCCAGTACAGTGACGTCTGATGATGTAACGCCAAGGAATGGAACCGCCTCTTGTAGCTCTCTGTTACGGATTTTTCCCTGAAAATAGCAAATCATGAAAGAAATGATTTTGTACAAACAACAAAATAAACCAACCAGCCCCTCAAAATTCCCATTGGACACGCATAAAATGAAGACACGATGATTGGCAGCACTTAATGCTCGCAACACTGGTGCAAAAAACATGGTCTCATCGTCAGGGTGAGCGATGACAAGCAACACCTGTCAAGTTTAGCCTGGTTTTTTATTTGAAGAGATGCAGAACGTTTAAAGTAGTAGATGTTCAAATGAACCTTTGATGATGGTCGTAAAGGCAGCGGTCTATTGCTGCGGAGTGCGAACAACAGCAGGACAACAAGAAAAAGAAGAAAAAACAAAATAAATAGTGGAAGCATTTCCTGAATAGAATCACTTAGTATCTTGTAACAAATTTTGCAAACCGGTTTCAAAAAAAAAACAGTTTTCAAAAACTTTGGTGTGTTAAAAAGAAATATCTATTGTAATAAAATAATACAAATCAGACGGTTACCTGTCCAGAGAATGTGACCTATTAAGCTCAGAACAAATGTGGAGAAATCAAGGATGGTTGCGTAGATGCCTATGAATTGGAAATGAAGTTCTTTCGTAATCAATGCTGATCAATACCTTCTTTGTTAGAGTTCGCGCTGCAATAAAACAGAATTTTCAATTGAGTAAAGTAATGAAAAGATAACTTTGATAACTCACGGTTGTTGTTTCGACGATTCTAGACTGAGTAGTACTTCCTCAAATGTTTGAGACTTATGGCTCTGTGGAAGTCGTAATGAATCTCCAAAGGCCTCGCGCATGGCGGTGCCAAACTGGCGCGGAGTATTCACCTTGAGAGCCCACGATATGCCGATTATGAATAATGAAAAGCCAGAAACTGAAAAATTAATGCTGTACATCAATCCATTTGCCCACTGCGGCTTCTAATATTGACGACTGGTTAATCAAAATTGGAAAGTAGTAAAATGAAATAGAGTAGAAAGCGCTTTTTGGCTTAGAAGGGCATCTCGTAAAATCGTTATTCCTTTCGCTAGTTCATGTCAATTACCAGTTTTTTTGTTGAAACCTTTACACTCATGTGAAGCTGCGAAATTGTAAGTGAGCCACTCCAGTTACAGTACCTTGTAGGAAAAAATACATAAAAGGACTGGATCTAAAAATGGGAAGGATCAATAATACAGGGATCATTGTACGGGCCATAATTCTACTTTATTAAAAGCAGCTATACCGTTTCACGTTTCTTATTTTTTCAACTCACTTACTGCTCCGGTCTCCACTTAACTTTCAGATCCACTTTCTAATGTTTGCATAAGCGCCTGGTTACAACTTCCATTAATTTTTCGTCAACTATTAGGTTGACCGGAAAGTTTCCCGCCACGTGTTTGATCGCACCATATTAGCCTTGCATGTATGTTTATGACTTATCGTGGGGTGTGCATGAAGCACGCAAGAGACTCTTTCACATCACTACCTCACACTCACCCAGCTTGCATTTGGATTCCAAAATGCCGCCCAAGTTTCAACCCGACAGGATGCACCTGAGGCACTGTCTTCTTTTCCTTCATCAGTCTGGCTTAAACGCAAAGGAAGCCCAAGCCAAGATAGTGGATACATATGGCGCTGACGCTATCTCTTACGACACGTGCAAGACCTGGATGGCCAAGTTCAAGAAAGGAGATTTTTCTCTCCAAGATGCTCCAAGGTCCGGCCGGCCGATGGAGTTAGACTTGAAGTTGCTGCAATCCACCGTGGAAGAGGATCCGTACGCCACTACCAGGGAACTTGCAGCGATGCTCGGCCATGCCCAATCAACTGTTGAATCTGGGCTGGAGAAGATTGGTAAAGTCGCAAAGCTTGGCCGTTGGATTCCTCACCAATTCAATGGCGGGAAACTTTCCGGTCAACCTAATACACCCCTATGTCATCATTTCGCCAATTCTACCTCACTGCCGAGTTAAATGACGACGAAATAACGGTAGTTCCTCCGAAGTAAGACCGAAGCGAATCACTTGTGTGTAGCAGTACTTTAAAAATTATCTCTACTGCTACTCTTCTTCCAGGCGCTTTGAGTATCCCACAAAAAACTTTCATAAATTTAGGTTGTCACAAACTTATTGCCGTCATTAAATATCCATGCAAAATGTGAGAATTCAAACGAAATTGACTGGAAAGGAATTGTGCTTGACTCTAGCGTAAATCACCCCTATCTCCATCAACAGGACAGATAAGATAGTCATGACAAGGAAAGGATCATATCAGAAACGAGATCGTCTTGAGATGCTGAAGAGGAGAACAAGATGAGTGGGTTAAAAGAGTGGGTCAAGAACTGACAGAGGCAAACCGAAATAACAGTCAAGCAAAGCTTTGAGAAGGCTGTCGAGTGCCGAAATTAATAATAGCGAATCCACGCTCAAGTCTAAAACAACTGCAGCTGAAATCGCTTCCCCTTGACGGAGATGTAGATAAGCATGCATTGATCGATACACTCCAGAAGGAGTTGCACAAGTGAGAGACTTATCGGAGATGTTCCGAAACTCAAAAGAGATAAGGCGCAGTTTCTGGGCTACAGTGTGGAAAAAGTGAAGGGTTAGCCGACTAAAGTCGTTCTATAGGACCCAAGGTGGCCATTTGGATAACCATTATAATAAGATATATATGGAACATTCTGTCTAACCAGTGAGGGTCAACAGGTCAGTCTGGCCTTTTGCAATGGGGTACACATCGCTATACGCGACTTGAAACGATGAGCTCATATCACCTTTAGAATTTGCGAAACGGTTCTCTGAACGGAGTTATTGAGGTTTTTTTTCACAGTTTTTTCTTGAAGGCGCGCTGGCGCTCGCGGGCCAGCACCCGCTGGCGCTGAAGAGTCGCCATCTGTAGCGCGCGAAATAATCATCTTCGAACGAAGCGGGGGTAATATTCGTGTTCAGGAGGTCAAATAACCCCCAACAGAGACAGTCTAGCAAAATCTGAGATTTTGCCTCAACTTCCAAAAAAACTGGGTTGGGTTAAACATTCCATTAAGAGAACCGTTTCGCAAGTCTAGAAGTAGATTCAAGTTCATCGTCCCAAGACGCACAACGGTGTACAACTCATTGCAAATGGTTGCACTGACCTGTTGACCTTCCCTAAGCAAAAAAATATACCTGTGATGACTGTAGCTACACCCAATGCTTTGCCAGCGAATCCGACACCAGAAAGTACCTGTAAAGCAGTAACTGAGAGGTCAAAACATGCAAAAGATGCAAAACGTCAACTGTAGAACTGAGCCCATATAAGCGCTAATCAGTTTCAGAAAGCTGTCACAACACAGTTCTCTTACACAGATCATTCCCAGAAAATGTTTCATTATTCATGGCGTACATCTCATATTTTACCCCATTTTGAGGAGTCTGATCCAATAAATGGCATGGAAATCTAGCTCCAACACTTTTGTGTAGTACAAGAACATTTACCTGTGCCCTACACAAATCAACAGCTTCAGGTTGCCGAGTGTGTTTGTAGGCACTTCGGAGACCAGCCAAAAAAGATCCAAGCGATGCAACGCCGAGTACTGAAAAAGGAGCTTGTAAATCAGAAAATCTGAGAACAAAGAATACACAGTGTTTTCAGAATCAATTATCGGACAGCGCAGCAGCATGTGAAGCGCAGTGCGTGTCAAGAACCTTCATAGGATTTAGTTTTTAGCAATTTGCAGGAATCTTGTAGACAGTCGCCGCGCTCAAGCAATTCGTAAGCGTCCTTACTGTACAAATAGTCTGGTCATTAGCCTCTACTTATCCCACTTTCACGGCTAGCGAAGGTACTGCGGCCTTCAGAAGTGGCAGTTCTGAAGCCTTCTCAGTTATCCCGCCCATCGAAACATAAAGGTTATCAAAAGTGCCGTACAGTTTTTTACAGCTGCTAGACGGTGTCAGTAGCTAAACGCGAGAAGGAACTATTAGTATATCAGCGGTGGCAAGATATCGTTTTGCTGGAAAAGAGCAGGTCCTGAAACCCGTCCAGAAAGACAGCCAGGTCCTCACTTAGGATGTTGTCCACGATTTTTTTTTGCTTCTTTCTTCTTCGGAGAACATTTAGTGACAGTAGGTTTAAATCGAATACGACACTATGCACAATATACAATCGCGGTATTCGTCTTAAAGCAATTTCCCTAGGTTCTTTAGCGAGTAATTTTTCTGATTTTCATTTGCGCTACAACCCTTCAAACACCTCTCCACTTGTTATGCGTCACTGCGCGCTATTGATTGAATTCCTAAAGCGCTGCGAATTATTCCAAATCAATCAGTGGCACTGATCATCGATCCCCTCATACTCTCCTGCAGTCACGGCCTGATTAGTATGCCCTCAAATGTTTTTTTAGAAAGATTAGGAAAACAAAATAGCTAGCAGTTCTGAAGAAAGCAGCGCAATAGTTGAAGACTGATCACCATACATGAAATTCAACTATTCTGGAAACTAAATGTGTATTGTAATGTAATTTTGTGAAAATCGTTAATAGATGTAAGTGTTGAGTGTGTGGTTCAGGAGGGAATTATGGGGGGGGGGGGGGGGGAGGGACGCCGAGGAGCAGCAATTCCCAAAAATCCAACTTAACGCGGTAATGCGCCCTGTTGGGCTTCTCCATGCTGCCTGAACTCGAACGACAACAGTAGTGTAGTGGCCAAGAGTCTCGCTCAAATGGTAAGTTCAATACTTCACTATCCCATATTGGAAAATGACGTCATCGTGGTTCGGCGATTATTCTAATCCGCCGTGAGTAAGCGGGTATATTCGGCCTTAACACCTGCTAGACGGGCTTTTCAGGGTTTTTGTGAAGGCGATCGTATCGACAAAGAAAACATGGGGGATCGTATTTATAGAAAGTTTACTCTACTTCTCATATGCAGTGCCCATGACAGTGTTTCGAATTTTTCCGCCTAGGTCCAGCTAAATTGCCAGTCAGACGGGGGCAAATCGAGGGAATGAAGGAGAGGATATGTCGGAACATCCCAAAGAAGATCAGCAAACTGATCTGCTGTGCAAATGTGGGGTTAGGTTGGGCATGAAATACAACAACACGGTCATTTTACTTGTTAAGAAGAGCTGCGTGTTCCTAGTGGCAGATGTACAAAAAAATTTAACTTGACTTTCAAAATTCTAAATCAGAAAAATTCTCGAAATTCTAAATCAACTAAATTGTGATGTGTGACCTGCGCACCAATCTATTAATCATCGAGCTACCATGGTCTAGTTCACGCAGAAGAAGAAGCGTTCAGGCGGGATGAATCTGGCGCGGTGCCAAACCCGTTCTCCACCAGGTGTTGGAGCGAGGAAGTGACAAGACTGGTATTATATTGTTCGTATGACTCGTTTTCCATCAATTGTTGTTGCACACCCGCTGCAACAACAGGCAGAGAACCAAGTTTCGCCCGTCTCATACTGTCAGACACGTCCCTTCATCGGCATCGAAGTAATGTATATATACACTGTGGATGTTATCTTTTCGCGGACACACATTATTTCATAGGCCTCCACTTCACTTGGCTCGACACGTCGTTGGGATGAAGCAAAGTGTAAACTGCACCCCCCCCCCCTCCTACCGTCGTCGAACTGAGCAGAAGACTGAGCTCAAACCAATAAATCAGACGTATTTCTAGTAGATTAACAGAAAGAGGGTTACCCACTTCCCTTGACCACGTTCGGTGTCACCGTGTTGGAGTCGACCTTTATTGGCCACACGAGCAGCGGAATGCAGAGCAGCAGCTGTAACACCAACAGCTCCTCCTATGTGGGCACCGGTTGCACCAGGCTGCTGTTGTGCATCACCCATATAACACGAGAGGTCAGACCTCTGAAATATTCGATGGTCCACCCAGAAGTGCTCATTAATAGATCCGAATCTTTAGAGGTCGTCCATGTGAAGTAGCAGTGGTACTGAACCATATCTTCTAGGAGTCTAACATTCAAAAGAGGTACTATTTACTCGACAGACAAAAAAATATCAACAGTAACGCCAAACTTCAACAAGGCAAAACATCAGTCGATCCTAAACACATGAGATGCCATCAAAGAAACACGAACCAGCCATCATAATCTGCACATTGCAGACGTTGATTACATCATAAATGGAGCATATTACTCTTCCGGAAAATAATTTCACTAAACCATAAGTCCAATCTCCATTTGAAAAAAGCAAATAGAGGTCAATAAGTTATCATAAACAGATTACAGCAAAATACATCATCTATTCAGTATCACTCAACGAACTACTGCTGCTGCTGCTGCTCGGCGTTGGAGACCGTTTTCGTTCCTTCTTCTTCTTTTCCTGCAAGAAAATCTGAATAACAGTCGCGATCAGGCCCGCAAAATCGGACAGCCTCCTCCAATTTCGTTTCAGTAACGGACACTAATGAAACAACAAGATTATAAGGGTATGGATAACACCAGCAATCACTAGAGTATGAAAAAAGTCCTATCATGAAGTCGTTCAATACACTCACAACGGAGGCCATCTTGGGGCCAATAAAACAACAAACTCTAAAAGTCACACTTACAAGAATACAAAAATATAAAACAGCGATTATTCATTGCAATACGCTTAAGGACGAAAACAAGACTGAGTTCATACTTTGCATCAGCTTTTCGAGCACACGGCGACGTTTTGGGCGACTAGGAAAGTATGGATTTTGAGCATTTCGAGCGCAAGTAGGTGAGAAGCAAAACTACCCGCGATAAAACTCAAAACTCTGGCGTGGGCTCAAAATGTTATATCCAAGGGATTGGCGGACGTTGCTGGGGATTCCCGCAACTGAAGGTCGTATATTTCGCGGGGAGAGAGACAAATTCTTGGGAAATTCCGGAAAAAAGTGATAGGAAGTTGGGGAAAATCTACGAAGGTCGACAGCTCGATCACAGGAGGAGAACTAGGGGGGGGGTCGTACTAACCGCTAAAAAAGGGGTGGGTGTACGTACCAAACTAAAATCCCCAACCAATGATGCGCCCTGGTTAGATCGGTACATACACATTCATGGTCGCTCAAAACGCTGCTGTACGCTCGAAACGCAAAGTAGGAACAGCGCGGTCAAAGGGGAGGGGGAGCTACCATCACTCAATCGCTCACCTCATGCTACTTGTTTGCAATGATTAATGATATTTTTCTAGGTATTTCTGCCCTTTTCGCAACAAGAAATCAGTTGGGAGCGTAATTAATTCTAGGATATTATTGTATCCCCTCAATTGTGATTAGATCTAGTTTGCTCTCAGTGAATTATAGCAGCACCCTCCCGTAGGAATAAATAAATAAATGAACGAATAAACAAATAAAAATATTAAAGCTTTCCACGTGTGATAACCACTTTGAAGTCCGCGCCCTCGTGTGGAAAATCAAAAGTACAACAACGATGTTGTTTACGACACCCCTCCCCCCTCCCTCGAGAGTTCGCGGAAATCTTGAGCATTTCCCAAAGCAATTTAGTAGGACGTTTCTTGCACTTTCGTTCTATATATTAGGTTCCTACTGAGCACGTTCATTGTGAAGCGTATAATGTGGCGCAGTAACCAGTCACTACCGGCATGGTTTGTGACTCGCAACCCAAAAAAAGTCCCACCCGGGCACACCGAGCAGTCCTGACCGATTAACTGGTTTCAAATCCCTTTGGCAAACAAGTTCTTGACCTACAATGGCTAGTCGCGACTGATGTGTGATAAATACATTCTTGAATAGGTCATCAACGATTTCCTGTTCAAGAAACTGCCCACAAGAGGACCCCGAAAAGGGGCGACTTAAAGGCCGCGGTTCATAGCTGCGCACTAGAAGAAATGCAGCAAATGCGAAGATTCTGCAGAATGACGAAAAAGGATTAAATTACATATCCGATATTGAAGCAGATGCAGAATGCGGAATTTGGCAGAATGCTAACTGCGGAAACATCAATCTGCTATATATCCTTTTCGTCATTTCTGGCAGATTGCTTCCGTTGACATTTCTGCAGATTCCGCATATCTGCAAATTCCGCACTTCTTCAATCAATGCGTATTTACTGCTTATCGTCATTTCTGCAGATTCCGCACTTCCGCAGATTCGACATTTCTGCAGATTCCGCATATTTGCAAATTCCGCACTTCTTCAAATCAATGCGTACTTACTGCTTTTTCAGTCAGTCTCCTCTCGCAGACTCAGGCACTTCTACAGATTTCTCGAATTTGATTTCTTTCAAATCGATATGTATTTAATCCTTTTCGTCATTTCTGCAGATTCCGCATTTTTTCATTTCTGCATTTCTTCATGGTCGCAAGCTATGAACGCGGCCTAACTCAGCGCAGGGATGGTTCTAAGCAACAAAAGCAAGAGAGGTTTAGTCGCTTTCGGGAAACAGTCTTACATGGTTCGTTCAAATGTGAACCAAGATGGTAAGATGGTATTGGTAACCATTATACCTTGCACCCCTGCACAACAGAACAAAATCGAACAGTTGAATTCACCTTCTTGTGTTTCTTCGCCTTTTTATCTTTCTTGCTCTTTCTGTCATAGTCGGAATCCTCGTCACTAGAACGACGCGAGTACTTCTTCTTCCTTTTCTTCCTGAATATTTTTGCATTGCAATATTGATGTAGAAATGACTCACACAAACATTTCGAGTGTAAGACGGTTAACTTCCACCACAATTCCAAACTGAATTGTTGGATTGATCCTCGAGAAATGTAATGAGCGGAACCTGAGAGAAACTCGGTCTAGTTCCTTCTACCTCACCTAGAATCATCTTCGGATTCGGAGCTGCTTGGGCTTCGCCTACGTTTACTGCTCGAAGACGTCCCTTCCGTGAAACGTCGTTTAGCCGGTGATCTCGATCTTGACCGACTTCTTCTCCTACGCCTTTCTTCTTCACGCCTCGCACGCTCGCGCCTTTCCTCTTCAGCACGACGACGCTCTCTTCATAAATAAATATTTATGAGAAACAGTAAAGAGGCATAAAATACTACTTCTAGGTTACAAAATAGAGCCGATTTACCCAGCCTACCTCTCTTTTTGTCGTTCTTCTTCTTTTCGTTTTTCCCTTTCCTTCTCTTCAGCTCTTCTTTTCAGTCTCTCCTCTTCTCTTCTCTTTGATTCCTCTTCTCTTTTCTTTTCATCTTCAATACGCTGCTGTCGACGTTGCTCTCGTTCCTTATCTCGGTCCCTTTCCCGATCTTCTCTCTGTAGAACAGCAGTTATCTCTAACAAAATAAAAACTACCCTGACATACCCCAGAGGTGACCGCAAGAAAAATAGACAATCTTGACGGATGAAGGATTCTGTATGAACCGAACTGCTGAACTTTTGTAATGGACGACATTTACAAAGCCCATGGATGGAAAATAAGAGAGTCGGATGAAATAAGTGCACAAAGACACCAATAAACGCTCAAGTAGTCCATAGCGCCGTCTATTTTGAAAATTTCGGTTAACAAGCGCCTCAGATCTTCTCAAACTTCCTCACGCTCTCTGAGCAAAAGCTTCAAAAAAAGACAGTTGGAAATCTCAAAAACTCAAATAAGTTCCCATTTTTTTGGTGAAACACCCGAATGTGTTCTTGGAGTGCGTTCATACTTTGCGGCAGCGCTTTGAGCGACTATAAAGTGTAGGTATGATACCAACGTTTTGGAGGTCGTCAATATTTAAAGTAGTTTTGAGTACCTATACCTATACTTTCTTGATGGCTCAAACGCTGGTGGACACTGAAAAGATGGTGGACGTTCTTGCTCAAAACACTAACAAACGCTCACAACGCTGCCGCAAAGCATGAACACACTTTTAGTGCAGTCTACTCACCTTGTGACAACATTCAAATTTGTTCTGGAGCCCCCCCCCCGTAAACAACTACAAGAAAAATTCATGTCCAGACTCTTGTCTTCATACCAGTCGTATCCCTGTCATACTCTTACCCTTCTTGGTGGTGTGCCCTCACGCGAAGCACTTTTCTTTTTCTGACGCGGCGGCGTTCCTCCGCGAGGACTGATTCTTGTGATTCGGTCGTCACTAATTTCCTTCTCCTTCGTCGGACCAGTATAACGACCACCTGACAAGGAGCTGTACCTGAAAAAACAAGGTACACTCTTTGGAAACCGTTCCGAGGTTATTCTGAAGAAGTAAAGTAACATGTAAGAAGAAATTTGGAACCCAACATATTTAGCTGGCTACAGCCATCACAGAGGAACTAGTAGAACAACAGAGTTTGACCCTCAACGACGCTATGCACATAAATTTTAAGTGGCATTCGTACTGAAACTCTCGAATTGTAGCGCATTATATCCGGCCTTGCCAATGAAAACAGGGTTCGTCAAAATAATTTGAGCATCCTACTAGACATTAACCGCTATGCTGCTGCAGGTATTATGTCTTGGCCGAGTTTTATATATTTCTTATATTTAGCCGAAGAAGAGTTAGATTTGATAAGTTATATAAGGGGTGGCAGTGAGAATATTTGGGTGGGCAGACAGTGATAACAACTGATAAGTGTAGACAAAGATCGCTAAGGGAGGGCTACGAATTGTAGCGTCATCCAGCAATGTATACGAGTTGGTCCAGGATATGATATTAGGTAATGGGGCAAGGTACACTATTGGTATTAAATTATTGGTCAAACTTAACCTACGAAAAAAATATATTTGATAGGTTCCGGCTTGTTACCCATTGTGTAATGAAACTGACAAAGTATGCGCCTGTAAGGTGCATGTTGGTATTCCCTGCGGCTTAACTAATTCGGAGTCCTTCCTTGTTCATATATTAGGTTGTCGCATAAGTTCTTATACACGACTTTTTTCGTAAATATCTCAATAGCGAACCAACCTGAAGATTAGAGGTATGCATCATCACCATCCACTACTCGACGCCAGCGCTCAGGCAGCTTGTCGATTCCTTCCTTCCAGAACGACGGGGGCTGGGACTTGAAGAAGTCGTCGAGTGCCTTTCTGACCTGATCCTTTGTTTCGAACTTTTTTCCGTCCAGAGAGCGCTGCAGGTGGCTGAACAGCCAGTAGTCAGAAGGAGCGAGGTCAGGGCTAGGGAGGGTGGGCGACCATCAGCCATCCGTACTTCTCCAGCTCGGCCTGGGTCGCCTTTGCAGTGTGAGGTCGGGCGTTGTCATGGTGGAAGTAGATTTCCGCATTCCTTCCACGAGTACGGTCGACGTGATCTTTCAATTTCCGCAGCTGGGTCACGTATGTGGAAGCGTCAATCGTCTGTCCCTTCTCCAGCAGCTCCCAGTACTCCATGCCTCTTCTGGACCACCAACAGGACAGGAGAACCTTTTTGGGGTGAAGGTCGGCCTTTGGGGTGGCTTCTGGCTGTTCTCCTTTGTCGACCCACTCCGCTTCCTCACAGGGTTATCGTAGAGGACCCACTTCTCATCTCCAGTGATCATCGAGTTGAGAACGCGAAGCTTCTTTTGTGAATCGTTAAGCAAAACCAGGCAGTGGCGGGCAGGTACATCTCTGTCACAGTGCAAATTGTGCGACATTGTGTACTGCAAATGCAAGCTCGGTGAGTGATAGCTAGTGTAATGAAAGAGTATAATGCACACGTCACGCACACGTGATGACGTAATACTAACATCCATGCGAACGAAATAGGAACGATCAAAAACACGGTTAGAGAATTAGCACACAAGCACTAATATTACTGCTTCATCAAAATCTAAGATATCCCAATTTCACGACTTACATAGATAACAAAGTCGCTTCAGACGACTCACAACAATGCCTAGTTCGACAACCGTCCTATTGTTCGTCCGCCAATGAAATTCAAAAGGCTACTTATATATGTTTTTCTTACCTTTTTTAAGTGTTAGATGGTACTATTGGATGAGAAGAAACGATAGCGAGCGAGAGGAGGCAGGATATCTCACTGCTGGCATGAACCAAGCAGGTCAGGAGGGCTCGTCAAAGAACCTGCTGACCGGGGAAGTCCTCCAACTTACCATGGAACTTTGAATGGAGACCTGGGTAGATCGATAGTCTATAAGGTTATTTACAAATATAGATAGCAAAACTGCAACCTGCATTTCACAAGCAACTTATGAGCAGGTAAAGTTTGTAATGGTGCAGTAGGGTGGAGGCTTGGTGGTGAGCTGTGAAGCATAAGCGAGGAATCGCATACGTCGAATCGAGTCGTCGAACGTCGAACCTTACCACTGAACCACCACGACTCGATTCGACGTATGCGATTCCTCGCTTATGCTTCACAGCTCACCACCAAGCCTCCACCCTACTGCACACAAACTTTACCTGCTCATAAGTTGCTTGTGAAATGCAGGTTGCAGTTTTGCTATCTATATTTGTAAATAACCTTATAGACTCTATCGATCTACCCAGGTCTCCATTCAAAGCTCCATGGTAAGTTGGCGGACTTCCCTAGCAATTCCTTAAGAGCTTTCTCCACGATATCTATTCGTTTTTTTTCTCCCTTGAAGAGTTATCTAGCAACTACAGATTTGCAATTGAATACCAATATCCACAGCATGAAAACGCGGGGTTTGTCTTCATACAGCTGTGAGCACACATTTTTAAGCGAGCTATCTTGTCGCTCTGGTCAACTAAAACTAAGAGAACTAGATCGTTGCGAAGCAAAAAAAAAAGATAAAAAGCTGGTAAAAATTTTCTCGATTCATTTTTCGCTTTCCTTTACCATTACCAGCACTATCCCCTTCCAACGATAATTTTCACCTACCTGTGACGCACGTCTGATAGCGGTAGTAACAAGTGTAAATGTGTGATTATCGCACCCGCGTTCTTGAGTTACTGACGTGGCATGCTACCTGACAGAGCTCTTCTTGCGCTGTCATCAATTCTTCGTGAAAGATGAATAAAAAGAAAAATGGACAAAGGACCTTTTCTCCCGAACGGGATCCAGTGCCCCCACCAAGGAAATGAGTCTCCAAACTCTGAGACCTGTTCAAACTTTGCGACAAGGTTTTGAGAACACGCCAGAGTTCTGTGGGATAGAAATTACGGATATCGATCTCGCGCTTGGTGTGTACATTAGCGTTTTCAGCGAGTGCCGCGAATACCCTCAAAACGCTAGATGGATATCTATGCTTTCCTTTCCTGCTTTCCTTCGAAACGCTCCAAACGCTCATGCGAAGTATGAACGCAGAATGATGAAAAAAAATACAACCCAATAAAATAGCAAAAAGGAAGCTATTACCTTTTTGCCCAGTCCTCTGATTGGGGGGTGCGTTCAACCACCTCGGCGTCTCCATTGCCAGTTGAACGTGGTTCCTTTCGCATTTCATTAATCTTCTTTTCAATGAGACTTTGAGGAATACCGTCCTCAGATTCGTCCGCTTCAATCAATAGCATCCACAATTCTCCCATAAACTCACGAGCACGTCTTGCGTTCAGGAATCCGGTAATATTTATCTAAAGACGAGTTGTACATTGATCACTTTGACATGGAACTTTGACGAGCAATTAAAATAAAATAGTAAATAATAATAATATGAATGCGATCAACCTGCATTATTTTAGGGTTAATAGTTTTTTCTTCCAACTGGCTCATGATATATTCGATCACAACGTCATCTTCTATTCCAAGAATTTCGTTGATGCGCATCGTAATCCACGGTTTTATGACGTCCAAGTTGATTTTATCCATATTGATCTTAGAAAAAACCATGCCGAAAATCCTTTAAACAGTCAGTTGAGAACGTTCTAGGTCACCTAATCTTATTGGACACCTAAGTCAACTGCCTATCAAGTAAAATGAGAACGACAAAAGTTGCTCTTTAGCGAGCAAAACAGCTGTACCTTCCGTTCTAATGTGTCTTCGAATTTCATCTGTTTGAGCAACTTTTTTTCCTTGTCTGAAAATCGGCCATCTTGATCTGAGCTTGTTCCTCGAAAGAAGCCTGCGTCGGCCATTCTGAAATAACGATCCAAATGCAATTTAAAACACTTTTAAACGAGCAGTAGAGTATTCCAGCTGCAGAAAATCGGCACGTATGCTATTTGAATCTGATACAAGTCTTTCGGCAGAAATGAAATCAGGGAAAATGATGCCCTCAGAGGACTGCGACGCGAAACCAGGATTTCTGTAAGAAAATCACTCTTTTTAGGGAGGGAGGGAAGGGGGACGACCAGCGGGGTGGGTGAAACAATGTCATGCTTAAAAATGAGGTTTCACATTACAGCAATCGCAGCTCTACACAATGAGCCCCCCCCATTCCCGACTAGCTTGCCCAACAGAATTTGAAGCGGGAGATTTTCTGGTCTAGAGGGTTCAAAGTAACCTTCCTTTGAAAGCTGCTCATATATGTGAAAACATTCGTTTCCAGGCATAGCCAGAACTTACTGCTACTTTACAGAAACCCTTTCCTGAACTTCGCGTTTACTTTTCATCACAACTAGAGCTTCCCCCTATCTTTCAAGAGCGATAGAAAAAAAGGCATTACCATGCTTTTTTTCAAAGTACCTTCTTACTCTAACGCTCCCGCGCAAAATTTAGAAGCGTGGTCATGAAAATATATCCAGCGATAAACGGAGCCTTTCTAGGAGTTACGGCAGATTTGTGACAGCACTATTCACGGAGGAATAGTACTACTTGCTAGTACAACACTGGTAAGGCTCATAATTTTGCTGTTCATTTCATACTAGTGAAACGAATCCAAAGGAAAATCGAGCGACGGGTGGCATTTGAAGGAATCCTTGTCTAAAATGGGATCGCTGCAGTGCAAAACCTCCCGTTGCTCAAAGAAATTTGTTCATCCTGCAGAGTGAATTCCATCCCAGAAATCCTTATCCCCACCAAAGCAGTACCAGCTCTGCACAAGGAGTATTTGAAAAGTGTTTTATTCAGCCAGGCCCAATTCATAAGTCATCACAAGAATTTTGCTGGGCATATTCTAACCTTGTAAGATAAACCGAATCCGCGTTTCCAGGTTGTAGGAGTTAATGACAACACAACACAACAAGAATGTATGAGGTTCGAGAACACCGAGAAGAAAATTTCGTTGGATACGTAGAAATCGTTGAACAACGAGTCGGGAAGACAGCCATCGCAACAATCATGAGCAACCGAGACACAAACACTTTCCAACTGAAAATGAAAACCGATAACTCAACCTGACCGTTTGACAAGAAAATGCAAGAGCGCGGGCAAAAGCAGATGCGCACGCACGCGGCGTCATCAAATTTGTCCAAGATTGGCATTGGTCGCAAACTCGGACATAGCGTTTCGTGCGACGCCGCGCCGCGTGCCGTCCCCACGTCGCAGCGCGTCTTGCGGCTGGCGTCGCGGACACATTGGTTGGGTATTACCTGTTCTGATCACGATTGGGTGCAATTACCGTGAGAGGAGCTTGGGGAGGGGTAGGGGAATGGGTGCTAACGCATTTGGGGGGGGGGACCACGCGGCGAGCGATGACTCATCTGCTCTTCTGCTTCTTCCTCGGCGAGATAATGTTCAAAACAGCCCACAGATGGTTCCCGGCATACTTGAAGCGCGAATCTAGCAGCTATTTAGAATAAAACAAACAAGATTCACCGGGAACTTGCTTGAGAAATCATCCAGAAGCGGAAAACAAATGGACTTCGAGTAACAGGTGAAGTGAATTGATGAGGTGAAATGCCTTGTGATTCTATTGTGAGGAAACCGCTCAAGATTCAATTTCTGCGATTTGTGAGCTATTGGAGTAAATTTCTCTTTGGATTCTGCGAAGCATCCAAATTATTTAAGACTGTCATTTCACACGAACGAATGGGTTCACCTAGGCCGGATTCATTCCCTTGTAGTTTAGGCAAGAATCTTCCAGCCTACAATTGTTTCTTCGCACTTTTCAGCGTTAACTGTTTTACCTTTTGAATATAGCACCTTGGGCGGTGTTATATCCATACCCTAAACAAGAAATTACATGAAATTACTTGCGAGCCGCGTGGTCCCCCCCCCTCCCAAATACGTTAGCACCGGGGAATGGGGCACTTTCGTGAAATCTGGTCGACACGCAGTACGAACGATACTTTACCTACGGAATTGATATGCTAGAAGTACTAGTTTCATTTTGAGTGGCTGCATAGCACGGTGCGAGTTAATAATCTTCAGTCGGATCGCCCGGTTGACGCCGGGTTCTCCTACTTTTGTGACACGGCTCGGCTTCGCCGGGAGGGCCTGAGTCTTCAAGCCGATCCAGACTGACCTACTCAGGCCGACGTCCCTTCCATCCTGGCTTCATAACAGAACGATGGTGAACTCAGCGTAAGCAGCGAATTAAGCTCCCTCTCGGACGCTTCTGGGAATAGTCGCGAAAAGAAAAAAAAACGGATTTTCATCTAATCTAAGCTATCTAATCTTTTCTTATACACCAGTATTAGGGTCAGAAGCTAAGAATATAATGTTATAATACAATAATATTAAAATTTTGGTTAAGCGGAGATAGTGTAGTGGCAAGTGGCGCCACTTACCACAAGCGTGGTCTGGGGTTCAAAGCCCGGATCGGCTCCCGCCTGAACCAACCGAGTTTTTCGTGCCTGCGGGGAAAGCTAATTAGTAGTAGACTCGTCTAAGAAGATGAAAAGTCGACTCCTACATTGGCAGCACTCACCCTACCGCAGGTCCCCACCCCTTTCCTCAAAGTGCCTCATCGCTAGAATCTTCAGGTTTCTATTCCTGCAACGAATTCAGTCAAGCAACTCTTCGTTAGAGTAGCTTTCTAGGAGTACTTGATTTGAGAAAAAATAGTTTTTATGTACTGTGTAAAACATTTAGGTAAGGCTATCAGAAAGCGCGCGATTTGGAATTGTTTCAAGTTTTTTTTTCCGCCTCGGTATACTGAAAACTAAATACGCGAGACATTGCAGTATGCACTATTGGTCAGCGTTAAAACTTTGCCCTGTCGGTGCTTGCGCTCATACTCTGCGTCAGCGTTTTGCTGTACCGTAGTATTCTGAGCGTTGCGAACGTACAGTCCTCATCATTGCGGACTGTCGGAGGCGGCGTGAGCAGCGCGGTTCGAGTCCGCGTTCGGCTCCCTTGCTCTACCAATGGCGATCGGGTAGAGATCGATTTAGGAAGGAAACAACCAATGATGGAAACGCCGCAGCTGAGAACCGCTGATTGCGACCCGACAATTGTGGTGATGTGAAGTGTACGCGGCGTTTCGAGTGGCTTGGAAATTATAGATATCGATCTAGAGTTCTGAGTGTACGGCAGCTTTTGAGCGTTTCGCGGATAGTTTGGAACTAATCGAGTGCAGTCGCTGAAAACACGGACACACAAAACACCAGATCGGTATCTAAACTTTCCTGGTTGCTCAAAACTCCCATCAAATGTGATGTTTCAGATGAGTAGGCAGTTGGAAGCCTGGCGGAATTGACAGATTCGAGAAAATTACTAGGTAAAAATGATCGGACATCTGGAGCTGGATAGCAACTGTTTTTGGCATGCGCCATGCATTCGATTTATTCCCATAATCACAGCTGCAATTGAATCCGATCCGATTTGTACATTGTATTGGTCCCTATGTATATTGGTTTCGGACAATGTGTGTAGAAAATGGTGTCAACACCACCTCTCTAGCACACACAACATTAAATAATTGGTGAGCATATTATAAGTTGCAGCATCTTTGCTCATGTTCTCTCATGAGAGTTCAAAACAGGGCGAGCATGATCTTGCAGTGTCGGAGTGTTTCTTGGAAAAGCAATGACGCCATTTCTTCTCCCTGGCGTAAAAATACCTACTACCCCGTTTCAAAAGCCAAGAAAGTTTGATAATGCCTCACGCGATTTTGTTTTTTCCAACAGCTGTGTCGAGAGCGGGAAGGCGGTAAGAGGGGTCACATAGAGCGCGTGGAACAGAAAGACACTACACCGAAAACTGCTTTTGAGACCAGTACGTCCTCCTTCCCACCAGTCAAATACGATCCACTCCGTTATGATTTCGGATAATAATGTGACTTGGTGGCGAAGCTGAGTAACCGTGACAAACGTACCTCTCTTTCTCTGACTCACAACCTCTCCCTTGAATAGGAGCCATCTGTCGAGGTGCAGATGGGGTAACAATGGAAGCAAATTAGCGGCGAGCTCTGAGGGTGACTCACTTCTGATCATTGCCTGATTCTTGAAGAAGAAATAACTCTGACTTAATGCGTAGGTTTGGTCTCGTGCATCAGTTCGGCTTTCGCGGGGGATTTTTTTAATAAATAATTCATTTCAGATAAAACTATCTGCAGATATGATTACCTTTTTGGGGCGAACATGATAGAAAGGTTTTTTCTATTGGTGTGTTCGCCAGTCTTTGGAGCCTCGATCTCCAACTTTCCGTCATTCGTCAGATGAGTTGTGCACAGTAAATGAGGTCGAACGTCATCAGGAAGACCATCTGCGAAAAGAACGATCTCTCCCGCGAAACCATGGTCGGTCGTTAGAATTTCTTGACGTCCTTTAAATGTTGCTTCGATGTGCACTTTCAGCTTCTCCGGCGTGAACTGCGACTCATCAACAGCGACAGCGAACTTCTTCTCGTCGTTCACTACCTCACGAGCCTCATTCGCAAGACGGAAGATTGAGTGGTGCTCGCCCAAGTGCGGGTGCATTTCTCGCCCCATTCGGCCCTCCATTTGGCGCTCTAAAGCGGTCCACGTCGCGCATTAGCCTGTAGGGATCCATCATGTCCCTCTCGATATCGCGCATGAGGTTTCCGACGAGACAGGTGGGCCAGAGCGCCACGTTAGTTTTCCTCTAACTTGGGTAATAAACCCAAGTTAGGGTGTTATTACTGGTTCCAATCGATCACTGCCGAGGCCTTCGTTAGGGACCAGTGAATTCTTATAATGCTATACAAGCGTAAGCTTCTTTGAAATTGGGAGAAGCTTACACATCTCAACAAATGAAATGTGTGATACAGCAGTATCTAGCGAAAAGAAGTC